TTTGATCCCAGGACCCTGGGATCATGACCTGAGCCGAAGGCAGACACTTAACGACTAAGCCACCCAGATGCCTTTTCTGCATGGTGTATTTTACAATACAAATGTTTCAATAATTGCACCTACTCCACTTTACACAGCTAGAAATCAGTTAGAATGAATAGCTTTTTAGTTCTTCTATTTCAAAGACGATGGCTTATCACTACATAATACTGCACCCAATTTAATAATTGTCCTAATAAACCATTAAAAATTCTGATGTCCCAAAGTTACTTCTGTCTAACTTTATTTCCATGCTCCCATCGAACAGTTCAAAGGAAAAAAATGACAAAGCATCAAGATAATATTAACATTTATACAGTATTGTACTTATTTGATTGCCTTCTATATGAAGCTGAAAGCCTCTACATGACTAGGTCAATGTCATATAGATCTTCTCATCATCAGTATCTTGGGTATGTGTCTGTCATGTTTTAGACGTCCATATATCTTTAAGTTAAGTGAGTAACTAGATTCTTCGAGGAAAAATTGTGTTGTGAGTGCATCATTAGCAATTTGAGATTTTTTCATTCACCATTTAAGAGCAGAATCTTGGTGCTGGGGATCTTGAAGCAACAGTATCAGAGGGCTGAGGGTGGGACAACATGCCAACAGAAAGCCGATAGTGTTCTGCAGCCAAAGGTGAGATTTGAAAAAACGAAAAACATTATAAATTGTAAGAATAGAATTGGTGAGGTAAAGAAAAAAATGAAGGTGCTTGCTAGAAGCAGGGTGGTTTGAGTGGCTTTTGCCTCTGGTGAGAATCTGTGGGCATTTCTGAGGATGTGAATATGCCTCACTCTCTGGTGGTGTGCATGAAGGAGAAGTACCATATATACATTGGATCCAATCATGATTCCCATGAATACACTATCTGGGAAAGTCATTAGAATTGTGTATTTTGTGGTACTAGATGTTTCAGGAGTTTTAGAAGATAATCCTGTATCTTGGTAGAATTGTGAATACGCTGAAGAGGTTCAAACAGCATGGGAACAAAGACACTTCTCAGCAGGCTGGAGATCCAACAGAGGAAGCAGGAAGAACCGGTGTTCTTCCAAGCTCTGTCTTTGAGCCCCATCCCCCCACAAGTTCTGGGGCGGATGGTGACAGCCTGAAAACTGTTCGGGAGGGAAGTGGTGCAGAGAAAGGCCTGAGGCCATTCTATGGATATAATAGACAAGTTTACATCCAGTGTTGCCCAGGTTGGGTGATAGTCCCCAGGTAGGTATCGTCCGGGGGATCCCCTTGTAGAGAAGAACCAAGAAGGAGGCCACAGCCATGCTGGTGAGAATCAAGTGTATGGGCCTCAGTGCATGGCCTTCCACATGATGTGGAAGCATAGGATGAGAGAAGAAAGGTATTCCCCAGGACCTTAATCCCAGTCTGGACCAAGAAAAGTCATCAAACATCATTCTCTTGGGGTCATGGGAAGAAGCAGTTCAGCAAAGAGACTGCAGGTCATGATTAGAATTCAGTGTGACAGCACAGATCACAGACTTGTTCCAATATACCCAGCTCTGACAGGGACTCTTGGGCCCCTGGCAACGCCCTGGACAGAAATTACATTTCTGGGAAGAGCACTCCATACCAGTGAACTCAAAACTGCCACTCAGAGTAGCCATTCTAGCATGCTTCTGTCTATGCTCATACAGCCACACAAGATGGTTCTTTATTTAGTCTATTTCCCAAATCCTTAAGTGTGCGTGTCCAGAACATAATCTCAAAGGTAAATCCTTATCTTTCATTTCAAAAAGTTTCTTCAATATCTACTATATGCCCAAATAGGTTGTGAGTCCTCGGATATACCAAGATTAGCCGAACTAGATCATTATACCTAAGAACTCCCAGCCTAATGTGGGAGACACATATACAAAATATAAGAATATAAATTATGCCATGAATGAAGGACATAAATGCTTTGTGGAAACATATATCATGAATTCCAGCACTTAGTAATTCTGTGATAATATATAGAAAATTATATTTTTATTAATTTAGTAAATTATTAAAAAATTATTATGTATATATACAAGGAAAAATAATGTAAAAATATGAGAGAAAAAAAGTTAATCTGCATCCTCCCTCTCATTTCTAGGCTTACTTCTCTTCCTGGAGATGACCACAGATCTCAGGTGTGCATTCTAGCAGGTTTCGTCCTGTTTTTAAAAAAACGTATGTATGTGTCTGTATGTGCTTTAGCAATAAGTAATAAATGTAGGATTGAATGTGTTGCTTATATTTATAAATTTAAAGTATTCCTCCTAATAAAACATGGGCCAAAGAAAAAAATACTAGAAATACGGCAGTAAAAAAAAAAAAAAATATGTGAGACATATACCAGGAATGAAAGAACAGGAATTTTATTAATAAAATAAGAACATTAAAATTCACCATATATGTTTTAGTATTATAAAATTCACTTAATATATCTAAGAAGAAAATTCATATGACTGTCACCATTGATGCTAAAAATAGCTTTTGACAAAAATCAACATGATTTTTAAAAAACCACTCAAGGATGTAGGAGTTAGTTTATGATGCTTTCTTAGTGTGATAATCTATTTATATACTAGCACTTTATTGGCACTTAACTGAAGCTGCATATTGATCGAGTATCCAGAGAATCCTGTTGGACTCTTATTATTCTCCGTGGCTGTCTGTGGATTCTCCTGTCATTCCATCTAGGCAATCAGGTCATCTGCAAATAATGACAACTTTTTTCTTCATTTCTAAGAGTAAGCCCTTTCATTTTTATTATTGACATATTGTGCTGGTTAAGATCTCCAGCTCAGGGATGCCTGGGTGGCTCAGTTGGTTAAGCAGCTGCCTTCAGCTCAGGTCATGATCCCAGCATCCTGGGATCGAGTCCCACATCGGGCTCCTTGCTCTGCAGGGAGTCTGCTTCTCCCTCTGCCGCTCTGTCTGCCTGTGCTCACTCTCTCTCTCTCTCTGACAAATAAATAAATAAAATCTTTAAAAAAAAAAAAAAAAAAAAAAGATCTCCAGCTCAGGAGAGATGTTGCAGCAGACCTCACTGTCGAACAACTAGGGAACATCTCTCAAGTTTTATCATTCAGTGTGAAGTTAGCTGTCAAGCTTTGGTAGCTGATATCTATTAAGATGAAGAAGATATATTTGCATCTGTTTTGCTAAGCAGTTATTTTTTCATTAATTACCATTAATATTTTATCATTTCATCTTGCATTATCATTGCAAGAATGCCGGCACTCAAAATACAGATAAAAATCAACAGTTTTTCAATGGTACTTTTTCCAAATACATTCGTTATTGATGTAAAAATATACATAAAACAAAATTAGCATTTTGAAGTATACAATCCAGTGATGTTCTACATTCACAATGTTATGCAACTACCACCTCTACCTAGTTCCCATTTTTATTATTCTAAAAAAGAAACAAACAAATCCATAACCATTAATCAGTCAGTCTCCATGCTCTCTTCTCCCCAGGCCCTGGAACCCACCAATTTGCCATCTCTATAGATTTACCTATTCTCCACATTTCATATAAACAGGAATACAATATGGGGTCCTTTGTGTCTGGCTTCTTTCAGTTATCATGTTTTGGAGGCTTATGTTCATTCAGCAACATTTCACTTGCATAGGTAACCAATATTCATTATGTATATCTATGTGAATACATGTATATACACACACGTACCACATTTTGCTGATCCATTCATCCACTGATGGACACTTGGATTACTTCCACCTTTTGGTTATTGTGAACAGTGTAGAAGTACTGTAGTACTTCTACTTTCATGTAGAAGAACCAAAGTACCTGCTTTCAAGTTTGTTCAATATATAGCTGCGGGTGGCACTCCAGGGTCATATAGTAATTCTACATTTAACTTTTTAGAGGAATTGCGAAATTGTTTTCCACAGCAAGTGAACCACTTTCCATTCCAGCTATGTTCAAGAACTCCAACTTCTGCAGTGTTATCCTTAATATTAGTAAATACTGGGCATTTTAGGAAATACTAAGAGAGAAAATGTTTCTAGTGCCCAAGGACGTGTTTTCATAATAAATCCAGAGTTCCTGCATTATACAGAACTTGGAATAAATATACATGAACACACACGTGAACACAAGTCTTTTCTCCCCCTTTGTCTCATATGTTGCTTATTTTTTAGTATTCCATGTAAATCTTTTATCACTTTTGCATATCTAAGAAATAAGGCTCTAGAACAATAGCAGTTTCAAGTAGTGATAGTTCATCACACTTGGAAGAAACACTACAAAAGACAGTAAAAATAAGGACAGCAAATTTATGCAGTCTAATGCTTTAGAATTCTTACTAAGTCAAATTATATATTATAAGGTATTCTGACTTTATAAGGAAATAGAACATTTCTATCTCCATGAGATTTTATTACTTAATATTGTATGTCTAGTAAAATGTTATAATATTATAAGCATAATTTGTTTAATAAATTTTATTAACTCCTAAAAATTATGTTCATTCCAACAAATAATAAAGTCAAATACAATGTACAATGAGATGTGATTTTTCTTGGCTTTTCTGCACTCACTACAACTGCAGGGTCCCTCCCCAGAATGAATATCCTAATGTATAACAAATGTGACTTGAAAAGAATGATTTCCCACTTTCACTGCATCCACAGGTGTTTCCTCCTAAACACATAGCCTGTGAGTTTCAAATGAAATTTTTGACAATCTCTGAATTTACAATGTTTTTCTCTTTAGGTGCGATCCCTGCGGTAGACTGAGAGGAGTGTTCAGATGAAAGGCTTACAGCTTTCATTGCATCTAGAAGGTTTATTTCTTATAGAAGTTCCAGAATGGTCTACTATAATCAAAGCGTTCATGACATTTCTATTTTATATGAGTTCTCTGAATGGACAGGATTAATCAAAAACTATTTCTCACATTCCTATAGTCATTGCATAGAGAATTTTCTCCTATGCTGAGTTCGCTGATGATTAATAAGAGCTGACTTCCGGAAGGCTTTTGGACATTTGTTGCCTCATAGGCCCCTCATAGGGCCTCTCTCCTGTGTGAGTTCTCTGGTGGCCAATGAGAGTTGACAAAGTAGCAAATGCTTTCTTACAATCACAGCATTCATATGGTTTCTCTCCTGTATGAATTCTCTGATGTACAGTGAGATAGGATTTAGCTGTAAAGGCTTTATTACAGACATCACATTTGAAAGGCTTCTCACCTGTATGGGTTCTCTGATGTATAATGAGAGTTGACTTACAGGACAAAACCTTTCCACATTCACTGCATCCATGAGATTTCACTCTCGCGTGACAATTTTTCAGATGGTTAGTGAGACCTGACTTCTGGATGAAAGCCTGCTGACATTCACTGCAGCCATATGGTCTTTCTCCTGTGTGAATTCGCTGATGAATCGTAAGATGTGCTTTAGGGGAGAAGGCTTTCTCACAATCTGAACGTTCATATAGTTTCTCTCCCGTATGAATTCTCTGATGGACAATAAGATGTGCGTTCGATGTGAAAGCTTTATCACATACACTGCATTTGAAGGGCTTCTCACCTGTATGGGTTCTCTGATGTATAATAAGAGTTGACTTAGAGGACAAAACCTTCCCACATTCACTGCATCCATGAGATTTCCTCACTACATGCTGAGTTTTCTTATGATTAGTGAGATCTGACTTCTGGATGAAGGCTTGTTGACATTGACTACATCCATACGGTCTCTCTCCTGTGTGAATTCACTAATGAATCATGAGCTGAGCCTTTTTTGAGAAGGCTTTCTCACAATCTGAGCATTCGTATGGTTTCTCTCCTATGTGAGTTCTCTGATGCGCAGTGAGATGTGTCCGAACCGTGAAGCCTTTATCACATACTCTGCATCTGAAAGGTCTCTCTCCTGAATGAGTTCTCTGATGTAAAGTGAGTTTCGACTTCCAAGGAAAAGCTTTCCCGCATTTACTGCATGTATAGGATTTCCCTTCTCTATGACGAGTTTTCAGATGATAGATGAGTGCTGACTTTGTAATGAAGGCTTTTGGACATTGACTACATCCATATGGTCTCTCTCCTGTGTGAATTCGCTGATGGATTATGAGCTGAGCCTTTTTTGAGAAGGCTTTCTCACAATCTGAGCATTCATATGGTTTCTCTCCTGTGTGAGTTCTCTGATGTACAGTCAGATGGGTCTGAACCTTGAAGGCTTTATCACATACTCTGCATCTGAAAGGTCTCTCTCCTGAATGAGTTCTCTGATGTAAAGTGAGTTTTGACTCCCAAGGAAAAGCTTTCCCGCATTTACTGCATACATAGGATTTCCCTTCTCTATGATGAGTTTTCTGATGACAGATGAGTGCTGACTTTGTAATGAAGGCTTTTGGACATTGATTGTACCCAAATGGTCTGTCCTCTGTGTGAGTTTGTTGATGAGTAATTAGCTTTAACTTACTGGGAAAGGCTTTCCTACAATCACAGCATTCATGAGATTTCTTTCCTGCACAAGTTCTCTGAAGCAAGGTCATGAGTGGTTCATAAGAATTCACTGCACATTTATTCCATCCATATGGTTTCTTACCTAAAGGATTTGGGTCATAATGAGTGAGCTCCGACTTCTGAGTGAAAGCCAATGTACCCACAATAGAATGAGCAAGATAATAAGGAAAGGTCCAGAAAAATATTTTTTTCCATTTACTATAAAAAACAGTAATGAGACAATCAGTAAAATCTGAGTAAGCTCTGTAGATTGGGTAATGGTTCTATATCCATACCAATATTCTGATTTTTTTCTTTTTTTAGTATTTTGTTTACATGGAAAAATTAACTTATTTCTAGGGAATACACATTCAAGTATTTCAGTATAAAGAGTTCAGAAAGACAGGATGTGTGTATGTGTGTGAATGGAATAATAGGTGGATAGAATGTGATAATGCAAATGTGGTAAAATATTACCACTTAGGGAAATCTACAAAAAAGAATATGTAAGGGACACCTGGGTGATTCAGTCGGTGAAGCGTCTGCTTTCGGCTCAGGTCATGATCTCAGGATCCTGGGATCGAGCCCCATGTCAGGCTCCCTGCTCCGCAGGGAGTCTGCTTTTCCCTCTGCCCCTCATCCCACTCATTCTCTCTCTTTCCCTCTCTCTCAAATAAATGAATAAAACCTTTAAAAAAAAAAGAGAGAGTATGTAAGAAATTCGTGTATAATTTTGGGATTTCTCACTAAGTCTAAATTGTTCAGAAATAAACATTTTCAATAGAAGAAAAATATAAAATAAAGGACCTTTATGTAAAGATATATAGGAGTATTACTTATAACAGCCTGAATGTGGAAGGGAGAATTTGTTTTATGTTCACACAATGGCACCCTGCACAGTACTCTGGTACTCTTGATCTAGTGCTGGTTACACAGTATACTGACTGTAAAAATTAACTGAGCTGTACCCTTATATCTATATCTTTTTGTGTATGTTACACTTCAAAAAATTTTTACATAAAAAACTAAGCAAAAATTTAGGCAGGAGTCAGGAAATGCTCACATGTAGGAGGAATTTGGATATTATACTAATAGTAACAGGATGCCATTCAAGGTAATAGTGGGAGAGAGATGACATGCCCTGATTTTCACTTTAAGAATGTCATCCTGTGTGTATATCTATCAGTTATCACACTAACGAGGTCTTAAGTATTGTGACATAAATACTGTTTTTAGGATTGTGGACTGTGCTTGGGAAAATCAGTAAAGACCTGCTATGGCACATATCACTTTTTTTTTTTTTAATTTTACTTTAGATCTTTCCCTCTTTCCTCCAACTCAGAAGACTGTTATTTCCATATGATGGTTTAGTTATCTTCCATACTCAGATAATTGTCTGAACCTGATGTCTTTATAAGTCTGCATGTTTCTAAAGTTTCTTTTTGTCTTCATGAATTTTGGGGGTGAGAGGATGGAACAACTAACTTCTATTACTTTTTAAAAATAAGTAATAAAAAAAGACCAAGAAATCTGGCTATTACGTGGAGAATAGAGAGAAGCAAGAATAAAGAACTGAGAGCATTCTCAAGAAAACTATAATAATTTTGGCAAGAGACAATGGATGTTGGGGCTTGGGTGAAACAATAGTTATAGAAAGGAGTAGAGGCCCTCCAGATACAATGAGGAGAAAGTACAGACTACACTCGCTGATGGACTGGATTTGTGGTGTAAGTGAGAAGAGGAACCAAGAGTGACATGACGTTTGAAGTAATTATTAGATTTCTGAGTGCAGAAATGAAACACATAGGCGAATGTGTATGGATAAAAGAAGTCTAGGTTGGAGACAGAAATTTGGGGCTCATCAGCATATAAATAGTATTCTTAAGGCCATGAAAATGAATAAACCACACTAGAAACAAATGGTAGAAATAGGCAAGGACAAAGCTTCATGATCTCTGCTCTGGAGACTTGTGAAGATGCCCAGAGAATGGACAAAGTCCATCCATCAGGTGCAGACAATGACCAAAGAAAGATGCCAACATAAGTCTTGAACAAATATCTGGTAGAGGCAGGTTAGAATGAAGAATCTCAGCTTCTCATTCAAAGATAAGCATAGTTAACCCTCTTACTGATTCTTTTTTTTAAAGGATTTTATTTATTTATTTGACAGAGAGAGATACAGCGAGAGAGGGAACACAAGCAGGGGGAGTGGGAGAGGGAGAAGCAGGCCTCCCACCAAACAAGGAGCCTGATGCAGGGCTCGATCCCAGGACGCTGGGATCCGGACGCAAGTCGAAGGCAGACACCCAATCGACTTAGCAACCCAGGCACCTCTCTTATGGATTCTTTTCTAATTTTTTATTCAACAGACAACAAGCTCTAATATATTTAGACACCACCACTGTGGTCAACATTCCCACCTTCTAGCTTGTTTTGATACATTGAGAAGGTCCACTGAAGTCCAAAAACCTGAACTTAGGATAAAAGGCTTCTGTGTTAACTAGAATTGTTACATCCCTTGATCAGGTAAAAGGGGTGAAAATAAGAGCTGCTGAGAAAACAGGAAGGGGCATTGCCAGAGAGGAAATAGAAGAGGAGGAGGAGGTTTGGAAGCTGTACAGGAAACATTCTACCAAACATAAATCAATCCAAAGAGAGAAAAAGAGGTGCACATCTCCCCGAAACACCAGGCAAATGAGAGCCTCATTAATTATTTAGGTGTCTGTAAGGACCTCTAAAGGCTGACCCTTGTTAAAATGCGTTTGGAAAGGGTCATCCCCTGATGGCCAACTATGTTACTTTCAAAGTCTCACATCTTTTTGTTCTCAGTTGCTCACTTACCTGAAAAGTACTGACATTGCATTTCATTTTCTATGCTCCATGACTCTTCTTTATGCTCAAAATTAAGGATCATATCTGGCTTGGTAGCTGGATAGCCTGTTCATGGGAAATGACAAAGACCCGGACACTTATAATTGGACTTGGTGGGAGATATCTAAGGAAAAGCACGAAAGTCTCAGGAATTGACAGTTTCACCTTGACAGATCATCTATCGATCGAAGGGGAGAGCACACAAATTCTATCTGGAAACAGAAGACAGACTAAGAATCTATTGCCTATAAACTGAACTCCAGTATCTTGAAGCTCTTTGGAAGCCAGGGCAACTGAAAAAGGAAAGGCTATTGTCTGTGACACTTTGCAGGACACACAGCAAACATCTTTAACTTTTGTCACAGATTGCTAGAATTCTCCAACATCATACCCAGATATAGATTCTTCTGAGCAGAACCTAGTAGCTGCCACTCTTCCCAAGGCAGCTGCTTAACTGATTGAGCCAGCCCGGCCCCCCTACATCATACGTTCTTAAATATCTATTCACCTGCATTCCTTTAGCAAATTCAATGGTCTACATTTCATTATTCTACCTTTGCCCTAATGTTGATTGTATGGCTTGTTATTCCTTCAATTCTGAATTTAGGAATGTTTGTATATTTCCACTTGTTATTTTTATAAGCCTCCGCAAATCCATGATGACAAGGGCAAGAAACAAAAACCCACCAGGGCCTTGGTCATTTTCTTCTGTTCTTTGGAAATCATCAGCATTTTTAAGTCTACTGTCTTTTCTGGTTCTGAATATCTGACAAGAAAGCTCTGATTAAGAGTAAAGGAGAGGGGCACCTGGGTGGCTCAGTGGGTTAAGCCTCTGCCTTCAACTCAGGTCATGATCACAGGATCCTGGGATCGAGCCCCACATCGGGCTCTCTGCTCAGCAAGGAGCCTGCTTCCCCCTTCTCTCTCTGCCTGCCTCTCTGACTGCTTGTGATCTCTGTCTGTCAAATAAATAAATAAAATCTTAAAAAAAAAAAAGAGTAAAGGAGACAAGGGGCACCTGGGTGGCTCAGTTGTTAAGCCTCTGCCTTTGGCTCAGGTCATGATCCCAGGACCCACATTGAGCCCCACATGGAACACTACATGGAGCCCCAAATTGCATCCTGCTCAGCGAGAAGTCTGTTTCTCCCTCTCCCACTCCCCCTGCTTGTGCCACTCTTGCTGTATCTCTGTCCAATAAATAAATATCTAAAAAAAAAAAAGAATAAAAGACACATTTCAATGACAGACTAGCTTTTAGTTTTTTTAATATTCTTTTTTTTTTTAAATATTGTATTTACTTATTTGACAGAAAGAGAAATCACAAGTAGGTACAGAGGCAGGCAGAGAGAGAGGGGGAAGCTGGCTCCCCGCTGAGCAAAGAGCCTGATGCGGGGGCTCAATCCCAGGACTCTGAGATCATGACCTGAGCCGGAGGCAGAGGCTTAACCCACTGAGCCACCCAGGCACCCCAGCTTTTAGTTTTGACAATTACTCAACACCCTTCTTTTCATGGGGGAATGAATTCCTTTTTTTAGCAAGAGCATGTGAGTGCAGGGGTTTGGGGTGGGGGGTGGGGAGGAGAGAGAGAATCCTAAGCAGGCTCAACATTCAGTGTGGAGCCCAACACAGGGTTCAGTCCCACGACCCTGATATCATGATCCAAGCCAAAATCAAGAGTTGGATGCTCAACTGACTAAGACACCCAGGTGCCCCATGAAGGATGAATTCTTAAAAGCACAAAGCTGGGGTTAGAAAATGGAGCCCTCAGAGAGCAGACTAATCAGCTCACACACCAGCTAGGAATTTCTAGTCTACCTTCACCCCTAAAACACAAATACAGAGAAAGCCAAACCTGGAGTAACTGCTCCCCTATAGAGAACTAGCACTAGGCAACTTCTTGTGGGACAGCTGATTCTGGACTTCCCCGAGGTCTGGCAGGTTCTAAAATCTGAGACCCAAGTTCTAGACTGGAAATCAAGACGAAAGTAGGTAGAATCTGTAAGTCTGTAGAGACTGTGTTGTGAGGTTCTAAAGTAGGTAAATCAAAATTCTTTCCGCTGAAATCATCATCCCACTCATAACAATACTATTTCAAAATTGCTTGCTTAGTCTTCAAGGCACTGCATGGCAGACATTGTTCTAGAAGTTTTCTGTTTGTGGTGACAAGAGCTGTTAAGAGGAGGCCAGGACAAAACACTCCACAGAACACAGACTACCAAAGTTTTTTCTGGGGACCAGGAGCAGAAGGGATGGGATAAACGGAACAGTAAGGTTCAGTAGGACCCACAAATTCCCTTCCCAAGCTCCTAATATGGGCTCTACCTAGCCCCCCAGAGCAGGCGGAATGAGGGCAAATGCCTCCCACACAACAAGAGCTCTCTAGAGCCATCTCTTGCTGCAGCCACACAGCAGGAAAGACCTACCAAGATCTGACCTTTTCCAAGCTGAGCCACGGGATGAACTTGGAATCGACCCAAAGAAAACCAATTCCCTCACATGCTGCATATAGAAGCCCCAGTCACCGTTAATAGGGTCTGACAGGCACCCTCTTTAATAGCTACTTGAACCCAGGCAGAATTCTCATGTGAAGAAAAACAAAGGCAGATGGACTGTATGTCCCAGAACCCCTGTGGCAGCCAGTCAAGAAGGTACTAGGTACTAACTAGGAAGACAATATATCCCAAACTGCACCTTCCAGAAAACTGTGCCTCAGCACAGGTGCCTCAGGTCCCAGAAAAGCCAGAGGGACTAGAAAGAGACCAAACTACACTCCCCAACTTCAGCTGGGCTTGGGTCTCCTCCTCATGGGGTCTGGTCCTGATGGAAATCATCTCCTTCTGACCTCTTCCTGGAAGTTTGAACAACCTAGGGTTGGGGCTCCAGTCACTAGACTGGCCTCATCTACCCCTTTGCTCATGTGGAGAGAAATCCCACAGTAATTTTTATAATCCATTTACTACAACATTCTTAAGCAGACAGTATTTATAATAGCTGTTTTGATATCATTTTCTTTAATTCTGTCACCCAGGTCAATCCTGGGTCTCTACTGACTTTTCGTCATGTTGATAGGTCCTAATTTTGTTTTGTTTTTTGCATACCTGGGTAAGTTTTGACTAGATGCCAGACACTGTGATTTCCACATTGTTGGTTTTCTCAGTTGATGGACTGCTTTCTCTTCTTTAAATACTACTGGGTGTAGGTCTGGGAAGCAGTTAACTGCTTGGAGACAGTTTGGTTTTGTAGCAGCTTGCACCTATCCTTTGTCAGGAGGGCTCAGAGCAGCCATTACTCTAGAGCCTATCTGAGTGACCCACTGACACATTATTTTTCTGAAGTTCTGCTGTGACTTTCCAAATACTGGGAGGGGTTTCCATTCCAACTGGTGGAAACAAATTACTCCCAACCTGTGCAAGTTCCAAGGAGAGTTCTGCCAGTTCATTCCAGTGGTTCTTCCTCCAGCCCAGGGAGCTTCCTCACACATACGTGCTGATTACAACTTCAAATCATGTGGGGGAATGGGTTCGCTTTGGGTGCAGCTCTCTCCTCTCCTCTAACCTGCACCATAAATCTGAGCCACCTTGAATTCTCCAAACTCTAAACTCTGCCTCAGTTCGGAGAAACGGCCAGGATCTGATGAGATTCCCCCTCCCTATGCTACAGAATGGAAACTCTGTCCAGGCTGGGGTAGTCATAAGACTCCCTTCATTTGTTTCCTTTCTTTCAAGTTAGCTGTGCTGATCTCCCTATTACCCTATGTCTGAAGACAGGCCATTCATATATTTTGTTACTTACTGAGTGAATAAAATTAAACATTTCGTGTTAAACAAAAAAGGTTGTTGGAATTAGCTGTGAAGAAGTCTGTTACTTAGGTGCATTATGGAATATGCATTCTACACTCAGAACAGGAGGTTGATTTATACAATTTCAGAATACATACGAATACATTTGGCAGCATTCACAGCACATAAATCTCACATTCCTTTAGAGCATTTATGAGTTCTTTTCCAGTACTGATCGTTTTATTTATATATCTTAATAGTATTCCTTGCTGTCACATCTAATGACACAGGTGTAAGAGTCCCTGATTGTAGAAAAAAAGTTACTGTATTTGGACCGTAATTATCAAAGATAATTACTTCTCTGTGAACACGCTTCTCTAGGTTTATTTAATGGCTAGGTAGGAATATCCTATAGTATGAATACTCTGACATCTGATGTTTTTGTGGTGGACAGAATGGACTCCCAAAGATGTTCATGTCCTAATCTCCAGACCCTGTAAGTATGTTACATTATGTGGCAAAAGGCATTTAAAGTAAAAGATGCAATTGGGTATTTTAGGGCCATGTGAATTGTTTCTAGAACTTCACAGGCTCATAGAGAGGAATTGTGCCTCAGGACAAATCATATCCAGACCCTCAACCAATTCTTGATTTAGCGCGTTTAAACTCAAGATTTAGATGGAATTTTAGACTTTGAGTTGGTACTGTAATAGGATGAGACTTCTGGAGGTGCTGAGAGAGACTGAATGTAATTTCCATGTGGTATGGACACAAATAATTGGGTGCCAGAGGGTGGTCTGAAGGAGGCAGAATAATGGCCCCCAAAGATGTCTACATCCTAACCTCCAGGACTTGTATGTCACAGTATAAGGCAAGGGGAATCAAGGTAGTAGGTGGAGTTACAGTTGCTAATTAGCTGATTTTAAGAGAGGGAGGTTATCCTAGATTGCCTGGGTGGGCCCAGTGTAGTCACCCAGGTCCTTAAATGTAGGAGAGGGAGGCAAGAGTCAGTGTCAGAGTGATGGAAGAGTTGACCAGCCACTGCTGGCTTGGAAGGTGGAAGAGGTCTGCAAACCATAAATTCAGGCAAATTCTAGCAGCTGGAATGACAAAGAAAAACCGGTTCTCCCTGGAGCCTCCAAAAAGAAATGTAGCCCTGTCAACCCCTTGTCCAGCAAGACGCATTTCAGATTCTAGACCTCCAGAGCTGTAAGATAATACTGTGTTGTTTTAAGCCACCAAATGCATGGTAATTTGTTACAACAGCCGTAAGAGACTAATAAAGTTGTAGCTCCATATTCATCACATTCACAGGTTTTTGCTACCTAACACAGGATTTCATTTATCAGAGAAGTCTTTTCCAGATTCCCAAGATTCAAAATTGTGACACATTCGTTAGTTTGGCAATAGAATCCCCAGCTTAGAATTTCCATCTTTTATTGTGTTCAGGGGTTTCTCCTTCCTATGAGTTCTTCCACATTTTACTGAAAACGTTGCCCATATTCGGTGTCTCTAGAGGTGTTTCTACACTTCTCTGATGGGATGAGGTAGAACTTATCACTGAAAACATCATCACATTCTTTCCTAATGTTCTGGTCCTGTGGGAATTCTTTGATACCAATGGAGGTATCACCTCCAGGAAAAGGTTTTCTCACATTATCTGCATTGCTGCCCAGTGAAATTTCACAGAAATTTAATAAGTCTGAATTCTCACAGACTTATCCTCTATACCACCTCTATACCTCTATACCACCACTGCATCCCATAGCATTTGTGTCCAAAATGAACTCTGACATATGTCGAGGATTCTTGCTACAGGCTTTTCTGATATCAGATATATTCTGGAACCAGCGATTTTCTTTCCTACACAATGTCTATAACATATAAGACATAATTTATCAAAGAAGGTGTCACATTCACTGCATTTGCAAGACTTATTCCCTGTGGAAACTCCCGATTACCTACTGAGGCCTGACTTCCTAGAAAAGTCTGTTCCACAAACACTACATTTCTGCCCCCGAGGAACTCATGGAGGTTTAACGAGGGCTGAGTTCCCAAAGAAGGTATTTCCATAGGCACTGTGTTCATGTTGTTTTGCTCCTGTGCAAGTTCACTCATGTACAAAGAGCTAGGACTCCCCAAGGAAGGTTTCTCCACCTTCAGTGAATTTATAGCTTTCTCTCTTGTGTGAGTTTTCTTATGTTTAATGAGGACCGACACATGGGCAAAGGCTTTGTCACATTCGCTGCACTCATACGGTCTCTCTCCGGTATGAGTTCGCTGATGCTGAATGAGCTTTGACTTGCTCCTGAAGGCTTTTACACACTCATTGCATCCATAAGGTTTCTCTCCCGTGTGAATTCTCTGATGCTTGGTCAGGTCCGACTTGAAAAAGAAATTTCTTCCACATTCACTGCATTTATAAGGCTTTTCTCCCGTGTGAAGCCTCTGATGTGCAATGAGGTATGCCTTCTGGGAGAAGGCTTTCCCACACACACTGCATCCGTAGAGTTTCTCTCCAGTGTGAGATCGCTGATGTCTACTGAGCCGGCACTTCCGGCTGAAGGCTTTGCCACATTCACTGCACCCATAGGGTTTCTCTCCTGTATGAGTTCTCTGATGTACCATGAGCTGCGACTTTCTGGAGAAGGCTTTTCCACATTCATTACATTCGTGGGGTTTCTCTCCAGTATGAGTCCTCTGGTGTTCAGTGAGCTGAATCTTCCTCATGAATGTTTTCCCACATTCATTGCATCCGTGCGGCTTCTCTCCTCTTTCAGTTCTCTGATGCCTAATGAGCTGTGTCTTCCTGGAGAAGGCTTTCCCACACTTACTGCATTCATGTGCTTTTTCTTCTGTATAAGTTTTTTGATGTTCATTGAACTGTGATCTAGTGCCACTGGGTTTCACCCATCCATGGCATTTAAGTCCACTAAGAGTCGTATCCTGCTGGATGTAGACTGATGATTTCCCACATCCACTAAACTCATCAGAGTCCTCTCCTGCATATCTTCTATTCTGAATAACAAAACCCAAATGTGGTTTCAAACTTTTACAATGTGAGCCAAACTTATTGTGTCTTTGTGTTAAAGGAACAAGACTTTCACATAAATCGGAATTATTCCCAAGTGCATAACTTTGCTGATCTCTTTCCAAGGTTTTACTCTCGTTTTGGTTTTCTGGGTGCCAGTGCATATGGTCAATCTCCCATATTTCTTCTAGGAAAAAGAACAATAAAAACATCCATGATAATTTTAAGGGGGAAAAATGTAAAAAAAAAAAAAAAAAAGTGCCATGGCTTGGGCTAGCTCTTTATAAGATCCCTGTCTAAGAGAAATGTGCCCTATGTTCTATGAAAAAAGATGGTATTTTAAAACTGCAAAAGGAAGAACAGCTACTTTAAAAAGAACAATGGATAGCCTACAATGAATAAATATAACTTGGGATTCTTCTTTCCAAATAGGACCTTGAAAAATGGAGACAAAAGTAAAAACAGAACCACACTATGATTGGAATAAAACAAAAGAAGACGAAGGGGATGGATCCATTCACCCGACAAATACTGAATGTGCTGGTGTTTGGGAATATATTACAATATGATATTTAAACATCAGAATAAGGGGCGCCTGCATGGCTCAGTTGGTTAAGCGCCTCCTTCAGCTCAGGTCATGATCCTAGGGTCCTGGGATCAAGTCCCGCATCGGGCTCTCTGCTCAGCAGGGAGCCTGCTTCCCGCCCACTCTCTCTCTGCCCGCCTCTCTGCCTACTTGTTCCAAGAAGGAACAGCCAATGCAAAAACCCAGAGGCAAAAAAACTCAGGCATGATCAAGAAATACAAGAGAGGCTGGTGTGCCTGGACTATCCTGAGCTTAAGTGAAGTGGAAATAGTTACGTTTGAAAAGGGAGGAAGAATTGAGAAGATATAGATGATGTAGTAAGACTTTGTTATAAATTAGATTTTATGCTAAGAGCAATGGCCATAAACTACTGAACATTTTTTGGAAGGAACACAACCCACTTTGAATTGGTATTTCTCAATATATCCAAATATGGCTGTTGTATGAAGAATAAACCGGAGGGATGAAGACGTTGAGAGAATACACAGGAGGCTACCACAGAGTTCAGGCAAGAGGTAACAGCAGCTTCAGCATGTCTGACCACCATAGAGATGGAGAAATGTACAAGAACAAGGACACAGTACAGAGAAGGGAAAGACAGTGATAGGAGGAAAGATAAGCCTCACTATAAGAATGAATGCAGAGGAAGAAAAGGGAATCATCTAGGATAGCTTCTCAGTATGTGGTTTACACATCTGGATAGCTGCTGGTGGCATTTAATAAGGTGAAGAAGATTAGGGAGAGAGGTTTGGCATTTGTGGAGAATCAAGTCCTCCATTTTGAGGGATATATCAGGTCTGAGATAATATACACATTCAAGAACAAATATGATGTTTCCAGTTAGATCTATGAGTGTGGAGAAAGCTCTAGACTTCAGATACCACTTTTTTAAGTGGGCATGGAGCTCAGTGCAGGGCTTAAACTCACAGCCCTGAGATCCAGAGCCAGACACTTAACCAACCAAGCCACCCAGGCGCCCCTTCAGATAATAATTTTAAGTCATGAGTACATAAACAGTACTTAAATATTTGGACTACAAAGAACCAGATGAGATAATACAGCAAGAATGACGAGAGAAAGAAGACCCAGGAAAAGAATTTCATGGATTCCAAGTCTTAAGAGTTTTGGGAGAGGCATCTGAAAATAAATCCAGAGACATCAAACAAATACTGATCAAACATATAAACAATGTGGGTTTTCAAAAGAAAGGGGTAGAATTGGAAAATCAGAATGCAGGACCTAAAGCATCTCATCCCAAGACTACTGAGGTAAAATATTCAACAACTGCCTTGTTACTAAACCTTTCCCCTTTCATTCCACCTGCACACCAAAACTAAACTTACATAAAACACCAATCACCTATTAAGAGTAATACTGTATTCAATACTTCAATAGCTTACGTAAAAATGATACAACCTCACTCAGTCCAATATATTGACACATATATATCCACCTAGAATTTAAAAATAGGTCCTCTAGGGCACTAGAGTAGCTCAGTCAGTTAGGTATCCAACTCCTGATTTTGGCTCAGGTCATAATATCAGGGTCGTAAGAACGAGCCCCGCAACTGGATGCATGCTCAACGTGGACACTGCTTAAGATTCTCTCTCCCTCCCTGCCTCCTCATCCTGCTCATGCGCATGCACATTCTTTCTCTAAAAAGCAAAAAAAAAGGTCCTTGGACCATCTGCCCTTGTCCCAGAGAAGAGTACAGTTGTACTGACTGGTGGAAACATGACCACTTAGTTTAGTCATACTAAAACTGTGTACTATGCTGTTCAATAACATTTTCTACAATCTTGGGAATGTTCTGTATCTGTGTTTTCTAATATGGTACCCACTAGCCATGTGTGGCACTGAGAATTTGAATGTGGCTGACCAGAGTGGCAGCGAAACTGAATTTGTAATTTTACTTAATGTTAATTAAATTTATATAGCCATATGTGGCCAGTGGCCAACACAATGGACAGCGCAGATATAGGTCATTTATATCCATATAAACCACATCTATATTTGCCATTATAATCTACTTGACATACTCATCCCCAAATTTTCTTTTTTCAACTAATGCCACATTCTTTCTCAATCTGTTCCTACATCATCTCTGTCATCCACCAATTAAGAGATGCATTCCCCATCCAGGAACAAAACATCAACCTGCCTTATCTACCATTTTTCCTAGAACTCTAAGCTGTAACATTCTATGTTTCAATGCTACTACCCAGTTACCAAGCAAGACTCGAGCAAGCTATCAAGCAAGACTATCTATAAAATAGCTTTACAAAGTTAAAACAGAACCAAATTCACACTTTTTTTTTTTTTAAAGATTATTTATTTATTTATTTGACAGAGAAAGACACAGAGCAAGAGGGAACAGAATCAGGGGGAGTGGGAGAAGGAGAAGCAGACTTCCCGCTGAGCAGGAAGCCCAATGTGGGGCTCGATCCCAGGACCCCAGGACCATGACCTGAACCAAAGGCAGCTGCTTAATGACTGAGCCACCCAGGTGCCCCAAATTCACACTTTCTAAGCCAATTATTAATATAAAATCCACAGGAATCACCCATTTCCTTTCAATCTATTAAAAATCTCCCACATTGCCTTCCCCATTTCCATCTCCAAAATCTTTTTACTGATTCATCATTTTGATTTGAAATGCAGCTATCTTTCTTACAGAACTTTTTTTTTTTTAAGATTTATTTATTTATTTATTTGACAGAGATCACAAGTAGGCAGAGAGGCAGGCAGAGAGAGAGAGGTAGGGAAGCAGGCCTCTGGCTGAGCAGAGAGCTCGATCCCAGGACCCCGGAATCATGACCCGAGCCGAAGGCAGAGGCCCAACCCTCTGAGCCACCCAGGCACCCCTTTACAGAACTTATTTTATAATTCTTCCAAAAAGTACTTTTTTCTTTCTGTAGCATTTTACCAAAGCTCAATTTTCTCTAATTTTGCAAAAACAGTGCCTATCTATGCCTCACAATCAAATGCTAAAAATTTTAGAATTTTAGGCACCTATGTCGACCCTTTGCAACTTGGACTTTGAAACTCGGAAGGTATTTCTGTCCTTCACTAGATCCAACTTTCACAGTGCAGTAGGGTGGCCGTTCTCCAAGACAGGGATCCAAGCATAGCTGGTCTAGCAAGCATATTTCCAACCTCATATGCTCAGGGCACTCCGTATATCTACTAGATTAGAAACCAAATCTCAAGAGACAAAGCCAGTGGTTTGAAAAAGTTCCCATGTAGTTTACGCACATCCCTGATTTAAAAACAAAATTTAAGAACAAAACAAAACAAGACCTACGTTCAAAACATGAGGAACAGATGCAAGTAATGGTGTCAGTGAATGATTGTGTAGTCTACACACAGGAAGGAAGAGGAAGACAGAGACCTTTTCTCTATATGGAAAAAGCAGCCTCATACCCACCAGTAAAACAATACAATAAAATGTGTGATCATGACTGAGTCAGTGTGGTGCAGACACAGTCCTCAGCTCAATGGACATTATATGACCTGTGGTATTCAATAAAATGTATCACTTCCTCCTCTTTGGAATAAGGTTGTCACTTGTTTCTGGGACATTTTCTGACCTTCCTCCTACCACAGCCCCAAAACTTCTCACTCTACTTCTCAGCCTCTAGATATATGTAGACCTCTTGTTGTTTTAACCAGTTCTCATTCATCCTGTTTTCTTATCACATTCCACTGTTTTAACGCCCCCTGCCCACCGAGGAATGCAGCCATACCATTAAAAGGGACTAACTGGACAAGTGAAAACAGCCAATGTTGTGCAACAACTGGTGCAGTGCAAAACTAAATGATCACAGCCTCCTCCGAGGTGGGAATGGAGAGTGTGCAGTTTTCAAAAGACTTTTCTTTTTTTTTTTTTTTTTAATTTTATTTATTTATTTGAGAGAGAGACAGTGAGAGAGAACATGAGTGAGGAGAAGGGCAGAGAGAGAAGCAGACTCCCCGTGGAGCTGGGAGCCCGATGCGGGACTCAATCCTGGGACTCCGGGATCATGACTGGGCCGAAGGCAGTTGTCCAACCAACTGAGCCACCCAGGCGTCCCCAAAAGACTTTTCAAAACAATAAAATCTAATAAACATAGTAGAGACTGTCAGAAATAATACAGAAAACTCAAGGCAACTCACAGTGACCAAGCACCTCAAGTGTACAGCAGCACAGCAGAACCTAAGTAAAATGAACTAGGAGTAAGAGGATTCACCAGGAGGAAAAATGATCTCCGGCTCCAACACTAAAGCTGAAGGAAAGAGGACTTCCCAGGATCATTATCCTGGGTGTCGGCAAAATACAGAATTAGAAGTCCGATCAGACTACAGAAGGGGAGATGTCAACCTGGGAATAACTGTCAGAGTACAGAGAGCTTAACTCTTCAAATATACTCGAATACACTCGATGGCAGTAGGAGGACTCTGTTTTGCATACAGGAAGGACATCAAAGGGCAGCTGTGCTGGTGGCTGGCAACATACAGGGGGTTACACTGCAGATTAGATGTTAGTAGAAGAGGGTAATTTGGGGCTTTCCAGCAAAGAACAGAGAGCTTAGGCCTTGAGAATGAATGAAACTTTTTTTTTTTTAAAGATTTTATTTATTTGACAGACAGAGATCACAAGTAGGCAGAGAGGCAGGCAGAGAGAAGAGGAAGCAGGCTCTCCACTGAGCAGAGAACCCAATGCGGGGCTCGATCCCAGGACCTTGGGATCATGACCTGAGCCAAAAGCAGAGGTTTTAACCCACTGAGCCACCCAGGCACCCCTGAATGAAACTTTTAATGTGAGAATCAAGCAAAACATTTAAAAAAAAAAAAAACACAAAAACCCAGAGCCTGGAAGTTGGGGAAGCAGAGGCTGATTAAGTAAACAAGGTGCCCTAAGAGACAAGGTACGCGTAGTTTTTAGATGAGCTCAGGTGAGGCGGGTTGTCAGGGAGGGATTTTAGCCCTTTCGAAAGAGGTGGGGATGGGCAGAAGATGAGAACTGTGCCAAATGCAAACCACCTATGAGGGAGCAAGTTGGTGAGGAACAGGAGGCAGGAACGCTGCAGAAAAGGAAAGGGAGAAGACCTGCACAAGCTGGGCAGGAGGGAACCAGGTACGAAATCTGGATCCTACAAGAGCCAAAACTGTAATGAGATCTACAAATGAGGAAAAAAAGGAAGACCTCATCCTTTAATAGCAGGCAAAGAACAGCCCAATAAATAAGATACAGGGAGTTGCTCAGATTTCTGTGTCACCAACTGGTATAAGAAAAGTTCTCCACACACTTCCAAAGTGTTGACCTTTCACTGGCCAACTGGAGTTTTATTGTCCTTTCTCCCCATTTTCTTGGTTTTCACTCACTCACCTGGACAGCTTTGACTTCGAGCTGCTCCCTCTACCGTCCATGGTGGTTCTCCTTGCAACGACTGGAAGAGTGAATCTGGTTTGCTGGCTTGATAACCTGTAAATGGGAACTCATTAAAAACGTGGCACCACGTATTGAAGCTTGGGGAATCTGTGAAAACTGGAGAAAGTCTGTATATCAGTTATACTTCAGTAAAGCAAAATTCTTCTTCTGGGGAAGGGAGAGCATATACGCTCTAGCGCCAAAAAGGAAAATAAGTCTATTCCCTACAGTGTGTTGGCCCAAACCAGGAGATATTTCAGAGACACTACCGATTTTATCAAATGAGGAAGAGAAGGCAATGGACTGTGATGTTGTCCTCACCCACTGACACCAGGTTCCTATAGTTCTCCAACATCACGTCCCGGTATAGGTCCTTCTGAGACGGAGCCAGTAACTGCCACTCCTCCCAGGAGAAGCCCACAGCCACATCCTCGAATGATAACGGTACCTGTAACAACAAATGCCAACACCATCTAAGGTGGGACAGACGGCGCAGGAAAGAGGGACAGGAACACATTCTAGTCATTTTCCCATGATAAGTTATGCCTGTGAGTATTTCACATACCGCAGGACCTTGTGTCTTAGTTCATTTGGGTTCCTGTAACAAAATACCAGAGACCGTGTAGCTTATAAGAACAGAAATTTGTTTCTCACAGTTGTGGAAGCTGGGAAGTCCCAGATCAAGGAGCCAGCATGGTCGCATTCTGGTGAGGGCCCACTCCCTGGTGCAAAGGCCCCACCTTTGCTTACACATCATCTTTGGGTTAAGATCCCAACATATGGATTTTGTGGGGACACAAACCTTCAGACACCACCACCACAGAATTCTATTAATTAATTCTTCTTAGCCTAAAAGAGTACTACAGTAATATTTGAAAAAAAATATTTGCAGAGACAAATCAATGTGGAGGAAGACTGTTCATTATTTATAACATGGAAAAACTATCCATAGCTACATGTCCATCAAAAACTGATGGGAGGGTGCCTGGGCGACTCAGTTGGTTAAATGTCCGACTCTTGATTTCAGCTTAGGTCATGATCTCCGGGTTGTGAGACACAGCCCTGTGTTCAGCTCCACACTGGGCATGGAGCCTGCTCAAGATTCTCTCTCCTTTTATCTCTGTCCCTCCCCACCATCTGCTTGCATTGTACGTGTGCTCTTTCTCCCTAAAAAATAAATTGGAAAACCTTAAAAAAAAAAAAGCAGTTGAGGATATACTGCAGTACCTCCATGCTGTAACATTACTACACAAACATTAAAATCAATTTGGTAAGGGGTGCCTGGCTGGCCCAGTTGGTGGAGCATGCGACTCTTGATCTTGCAATTACAAGTTCAAGGCCCATGTTATGTATAGAGATTACGTAAAAATAAAATCTTAAAAAAAAAACAATATGGTAGATGTAAACCTATTGATGCCAATGATTTTCAAGGCACTCTCTTAAATGAAAAACAGTCAAGTCCCCTATATATATATATATATATATATACATATATATATATATATATATACATACTATCACATGTCAATTATACAAAGAGATTGACTGGAGACCCAAACTATTAACATCTGTTACCTCTTGGGTTCGGGGTTGAGCAGGAAGAGGAGAAAGCGGATATTCTCTTTTGGTGTAAATACTTCTTTATGTTTGAATCTTTTACATGCAAATGTAGCCACGCATCATGTTAAGTAATTAAAAATACAAATGCCAGACCAGGAATAATTGACTCTGCCTTCATTCTCTAAACCTGTGGTTAAGAATGTATTAAGAATCTATAAGAATGTATAAAGAAGCATTGCCACTATCTGTACTCTGAGCTGTTATCAAAGAGTGGAACTTTCAGCTGTCTTCTGCCAAATGACAGAATTCTTTTTTTTTTTTTTTAAGATTTTATTTATTTATTTGACAGAGAGAGAGAGCAAGAGCGCGAGAGAGAGATCACAACTAGGCAGAGAGGCAGGCAGAGAGAGAAGTGGGGGGAAGCTGGCTCCCCACTGAGCAGAGAGCCCGATGCAGGCCTCGATCCCAGGACCCTGAGATCACCTGAGCTGAAGGCAGAGGCTTAACTCACTGAGCCACCCAGGCATCCAAATGGCAGAATTCTTCTTAATGGAGGATCACTCAAAGGTCAAGCAGCCCATTCATTCTATTAAATAACTTAGGCTTTATTCATGGGTAAAGTGTGGACTGCCAGAAGGTTCTACTGTCCAGGTGCACTGCTTTTGAAGAATGTTGTCCAATCAAGTGCAATCTTTCATTGCACTAAGGGCAATGAAATTATTTTCCCTGAAGAACTGCTTTGTTTTCTCCTCAAGGTCACTACACATCATGTAACTTTTCATGTTTTTCTTGTTATCACAGCTGCCAAAAATGAGACACAAATTCAAAGGTAAGGAAGCCCACAAGATCTTACACTTTTACCTCAGTTCCATCCTTAAGGGCTTTGTATGAATCCTGTGACCCATATATCTTGCTTCCTAACTTGCCCAGATTTTAAGATTATAGCCTAAACTTATTTTCTGACAGATCCTGATTTTTATCAACATACACTGTCTCATTTTATCAGACTGTGTTTTATTTAACATTTTTTAAAAGATTTTATTTACTTGTTCCACAGAGAGAGAGTACAAGCAAGGGAAGCAACAGGCAGAGGGAGAAGCAGGGTCCCCACTGGGGAAGGAGCTCGACGCAGGGCTGGATCCCAGGACTGGAATCATGACCCAAGCCAAAGGCAGACACTTAACAGACTGAGCCATCCAGGTGCCCCAGACTGTTTTAGAAGCTTCCACAAATCCACTAGGAAACATAGGACAAAAATAGGCAAAGTAAGCCTTACCCGGTCCTTGGTCATGTTCTCCTTTTCTGAAGAAAGGACTAGCCAACTGCAGGGTATACTGTCTTCTGTCTGCTCTGGGCCTGCCTGGAAGTTATGGTCAGATATCTCAGGTCAGGCTGCTGCCAGAAATGATGATCTCCCAAGACTGGGACCTCCACCTTCTTTCAATACTGAAAATATCTTATTCCTGTAGACTAGAATCTGTGGATTCAAGAGCAAATTCAACTGTAAGAAGATATACACCTGGGACCCCAGCTTTCTCTTGCCATGTAGACTTACTCTAACAAAAGGCTCCAACATGTCCTCTTTTTCAAAGATTTTATTTATTTATTTCAGAGAGAGAGAGATCACAAGTAGGCAGAGAGCCAAGCAGAGAGAGAGGGGGAAGCAGGCCCCCCGCTGAGCAGAGAGCCTGATGCGGGTCTATATCTCAGGACCCTCAGATCATGACCTGAGCCAAAGGCAGAGGCTTAACCCACTGAGCCACCGAGGTGCCCCTCCTCTGTCTCTTTTAACACCAGGAAAGCTTTCAGATCATGGGGCCATGCTCCATAGGAAGACATGGGATGGGTGAGAGGAATGCCCGCCCCTTTTGGGGGGGCAAAGTTGGACTAGAATGGATGTGAAAGACACGGGAAAAAAACCCAGCTGATGATCTTGTCTGTTGCCAAGTTCTCACACAGATCAATTTTAGGAAAGATAATGGGTACAAGCGGTGGCTCGGAAACTGCCTCAAAACCACCTGTGCCCACACATTCCTAAAATTTCTGTTTATTGCACTGGAGCAATTATCCCATTTGAAGACCAAGGTAGTATAAAAATCATGAGCATCGGGGCGCCTGGGTGGCTCAGTGGGTTAAGCCGCTGCCTTCGGCTCAGGTCATGATCTCAGGGTCGTGGGATCGAGTCCCGCATCAGGCTCTCTGCTCAGCGGGGAGCCTGCTTCCCTCCTCTCTCTCTGCCTGCCTCTCTGCCTACTTGTGATCTGTCTGTCAAATAAATAAATAAAATCTTTAAAAAAAAAAAATCATGAGCATCATCTTATTTAATCCTAAATACTACTCTATAACGTAACCATGATCTCCATTTTAAACATAAGTAAGCTGAGGCTTGATCAGGTGAAGTGTGTTGGCCATGTTAACATCCTCCCTAAGTAGCAATGTGGGAATCTGAATGCCCACCTGCCTCTCTCCATTATGACATATTCTTTTTCCAACAGCCTCAAAAAAAAAAAAAAAAAAAAAAAAAAAAAAATTTTTTTTTTTTTTTCTTTCTTGTGCACTTTAATCATTTTACTCCCTGGGGCACCTGGGTGGCTCAGTCAGTTAAGTGTCTGACTCTCAATTACAGCTCAGGTCATCTCAGTGTTCTGGGATGGAGCCCAGCATCGTCGGGCTCCCTGCTCAGGGGAGAGTCTGCTTCTCTCTCTCTGCTCCTCCCTCCGCTGTGTTCTCTCTCTCTCAAATAAACAAAATCTTAAAAAAGAAAAAAAAGAACTTTACTCCCTAGCACATGATATTATGGTGTGGCCATATGGTCATAGCTGCAAAAACAGAACCCCTGGAACCAGTTCTTGTATTTTCTATGCACACCCAGCCAGCAACTTCCACACAAGCCGGAATGCAAAGGCAGAGCCATCCCTGCCTCAGCAGCAGCACGTCAGAGATCAGTCTCCCCAAGGGCCAAGCCCTGGAGCCATGCTAGAAACTCATACTCTGAGGACACCAACACCATGAAGTCAATCTGAATCTTGCTTCACCTTGGAAAGCAGCAAATTATTCTCAAAGACTCTCTTGCTCTCCTGAATCCTCCATACCCAGAGAGCTCATCTCTGACCCATTCTCTGACCAACTGCTGAACACAGTGAACAAGGATACCTACCACCCCCATGTCTAATCCGGACAATGCTTTGCCCCATCTTGGCCCTTCCGTCTAGTCTCCCTGCAGTGCCAGCCTAAAAAGAATGATATACAACTCAAATGCAGAACTCCACAGGGGCAGGAGGGGGGTAGAAGAGGGGGTTAGACATGAATGAATTTATACCTGAGATCTCCAGGATTGGTGATCAAGGACTCAACCAGTTCCCAGAAGCTGCTTGGCAGACTTTCCCTCATACTTAACAGATCAGAGCTGCATCAAATGTCCGTGCCTGCAACATAGCAATGAAACAAAAAATGGCAATGGAAATACCCTGATTGGTAGGACTAATCTGCATTTTATAGTGAACTGAGGTTAAGGTCAAGTTCCTAGATGGAGGGCTGTCTAAATAAAATAGGGATTTTTCTTAACAAAAGGGGCATGGATGTCAGGATGGCAGCCAACAGTAGCCAACAAAATAAATAAGTTAGAAAAGCCTAAAGCAATATTGAAAAAGTAGCTCATAAAATTCAGTATTCCTTTTGTTACAAACCTATAATAGCCTAGGAATGGAGTGGCTACTTCCTTGGACTCATTATGGTACAATGGGAAACAGGTATTTGGCGTTTGTCCCAGGTTTCTGGCACACAGCTCCTAAAATGCTTGGAATCTCTGGAGTGACAAGAGTAGCTTTGATATGCCAATGAGATTATTGGCGGCTGGGGGTCCACAGACATCTTCAGGATAGGGAGTGGTCCCCCAAAAGAGCAAGCATGATGAGAGGGTTAGAACTTTCAGCCTCACCCCCTGGAACTCTGCAAAGTGGATAGGAGCTGGAGACTGAGTTTTAATCAGCAGTCGGCTATATAATCATGCCTATATAATCAACAAAATCTCCTAAATTAGTTTGGAGAGCTTCAGTTGAACACTTTGAGGTGCCAAGAGGGTGGGGCCCCCCAACTCCATACAGACAGAAGTTCCTGTGCTCAGGACCCTTCTGGACCTCACCCTATGTACCTCTTCATCTGGCTGTTCATTTGTATCTCTTATAATAAACTGGTGAGTAAAGTAACAATATATATTCTATTTCTGTGTGCATTTAAGAAGTTTATGCAAATGGTTTTATACCTGATGTATCCTTTTACAAGAGTTTTTTTTTTTTTAAAGATTTTTTTTTTTATTTTTTTTTTATTTATTTGACAGAGATCACAAGTAGGCAGAGAAGCAGGCAGAGAGAGAGAGGAGGAAGCAGGATCCCCGCTGAGCAGAGATCCCGATGCGGGGCTCGATCCCAGGACCCTGAGATCATGCCCTGAGCCGAAGGCAGAGGCTTTAACCCACTGAGCCACCCAGGCGCCCCAACAAGAGTTTTTTTTTTTTAAGATTTTATTTATTTGACAGACAGAGATCACAAGTAGACAGAGAGAGAGGGAGAAGCAGGCTCCCCACTGAGCAGAGAGCCCAATGCAGGGCTCGATCCCAGGACCCTGAGATCATGACCTGAGCTGAAGGCAGAGCCCCAACCCACTGAGCCACCCAGGCGCTCCCTTTTACAAGAGGTTTACAGGATTTTATTTTGTTCTTGTTTTATCAGCAAGCTTTTTCTCCCAACACTATTGACTTCAAATGTGTGGGAGTTCGTCCCCACACCGGCCAATTCTCCCAACTCCCTGGACACCAACTGGGTGTCCTAAAATTCAACTCAGTGCTCGCTTCGGCAGCCCATATACTAAAATTCAACTCAGTTTCGACGCTAACTACCAGGAATTCATGCAGATCCCACAGCTTAAGGCTCAGTTTCCCAAGACCACATTTCAGATACCAGTCACAATTCCCATGTTGCCACTTGTACTTCTGAGCAGCTGGGTTTTAGGGGCACCTGGGTGGCTCAGTCAGTTGGGAATCTGACTCTTGATTTTGGCTCAGGTCATGATCTCAGGATTGTGAGATTGAGCCCCAAGTTGGCCTCTGCACTCAGCTGGGAGTCTGCTTGAGATTCTCTCTTTTCCTTTCTATATATAATTACTATCTGTTGGTATTATTATTTTTGGTATAACTGGCAAATATTAGTTTCAGGTGTACAATGTAACAATTCAGTATCCGTATACATTATGAAATGTTCACCGTGACATGTCTAGTTAACATTTGTCACCATATAGTTATAAAATTTCAAATATACAATATGGTATTATTAATTATAGTCACCACTCTGTACATTACATCCCTATGACTTATTTATTCTATAACTGGAAGTTTACATCTTTTGATCCCTTTCACCCATTGCACCACCCCCGCAGCACTAGCAACCACCAATCTATTCACTTTACCTATGAACTTGTTTTTTTCATTTTGTTCCATTTTTTTAAGATTCCCTATATAAAAAAAAAAAAAAAAGATTCCCTATATATAAGTGAGATCATACAGAATTTGTCTTTCTCTGATTTATTTCATGTAGCATAATGCACTCAAGGTCCACCCATGTTGCAAATGGCAAGGTTTCCCTTTTTCTTCTGGCTGAATAAAATTACTGTGTGTGTGTGTGCGCGTGTGTGTGTGTAAATGCCTGAGCCACCCAGGTGCCCCTCTAATATATGCATTTCTAATATGTGTCTAAATTCCCTCCACTGATTGCTTTAGTTGAATTCAACAAAAGTTGACATGTAGATGATAAAATGCAGTTCAAAACATTTCCACTATAATTTTTTTTGAATCATGGATTATATAGACATGTATGGTATGCTTACCAAAAAATGGGAGACTTTCTAGTTATCATTTTGGTATTGCTTTATAAATTTAATTCCACTGTATTCAGAGAGAGTATTCTATATGATTTCAATCCTTTGAAATTTGTTTAGACTGGCTTTATGGCTTACCATATGCTAAAGTTTTATAACTGTTTTATGTGCACTTGAGAAAACTCATTGTGGGGGAGTGTTTTACACTGGTCACGTTTATTAATCACGTTATTCTAATTGTTCAGGGGTTGGCAGTATAGTGGGCTGGTGACCTTTTTTGTAAATAACATTTTCCTGTAACACAGCCATACTCATTTGTTTACATATTCTCTAGGCTACTTTCATCTTACAATGGTGGAGTTGAGCAGGTGCAGGGTTATCTGGCCTGCAGAGCCTAAAACATTTTCTCTCTCATTGCTCTCTACAGAAACTTTGCCCACCACAGTTAAACTACAGCCTTCTAGCTTTTTGTCTCCTTATTCTCTGTTACTGAGTGAGATACGCTAAGAAACTCCCATTATGACTGGGCCTTTGTTATTTCTCGTTGTATCTAGTATACCCTACACTTCAGGAATTCTACTAAGTATATACCCAACAGAACTTTCATGCATCAAAATGCATGCACAAAAATGTTTCTATCAGCATTGTTTATAATAGATACAAGCCAGTAACAACCAAACGTCTAATCATAGCTACCATTTATTCAGACCATACTAGGTAGTGGAATGCATAAATAAATTGGGATATAATCACAATCACACCAAAGAATACCATACAGCAATGAGAAAAAATGAACTACTGCTATATCCAACAACTTAGATGAATTTCACAACAAAATAGTGAGCAAAAGAAGCCAGACACCAAAGGACATATACCCTATGATTCCATTTGTGTCAAGTTTTTTTTTTTTTTAAGATTTTATTTATTTGAGAGAGAGAGAGTGAGCACAAGCAGGGGGAGCAGCAGATGCAGAGGTAGAAGCAGGCTCCCCACTGTCCAGGGAGCCCAAAGATGATGGGCTCAATCCCAGGACCAAGATCATGAAAGCAAGAGCTGGACGATTAACCGACTGAAGCCACCCAGGCACCCCTCCATTTGTATAAAGTTAACAGCCAGGCAAATTTAACTTAACTTTTTAGGATAATAATTACCTCTGGAGAGAAGGGAGAAGATTATGATGAAATGGGGCTCCTAGGGTGCTACAATATCCTATTTTTCCATTTTAAGTGTTATACATGAAAAATACTCTTAAAGAAAAGTACAGATCAGTTCCACTTATAAATGTAGAATAAAAAAATTTTTAATTTTATTATGAAAAAGTTCAAGCCGAAGAAGAAGAAACAGTATAATAAAACCCTATGTACAAAGAAAGAGGAGGGGCACCTGGGTGGCTCAGACAGTTAAGCATCCAACTCCTGATTTTGCCTCAGGTCATAGTCTCAGGGTCAGGGTCTCAGGATCAGGGTCTTTGGATTGAGCCCTGCATCAGGCTCCTTGCTGGGTGTGGAGCCTGCTTGAGATTCTCTGTCCCTCTGCCCCTGCCCAAGTGTGCACTTTCAGGAAGGAAGGAAGGAAAGTATAATCAAACACCTCATATCCATTATGTGCCTTCAATAATTATCAACTCAAATCTAATTTTGTAAAAGGCGAAAGATTTATACGATCTGAAGAGAAACCAGAGCATCAAATCTAATTTTGTATTATCGGAGCGCCTGGGTGGCTCAGCTGGTTAAGTGCCTGCCTTTGGCTCACGTCATGAACCTAGGGTTCTGGGATCCAGTTCTGTATTGGGCTCCCAGATAAGTAGGAAACCTACTTCTCCCTCACCCACTCCCTCTGCTGGTGTTCCCGTTCTCGCTGTCTCTCTCTCTGTCAAATAAATAAAATTTAAAAATATAAATCAAAAAAAGTAATAATTTTGTATTATCTACACCACCACTCAGCTCCCTTCACCACTGATTATTCTGAAGAAATTCAAGACAGCTTTTTATTTCTGGATGCAAAAATATTAAATAAAATATCAGCAAATGGAACCCCACCACATATTAAAAAAACAAATCACTATGGACAAGTATGGTTTCTTCCAGGAATATAAGACACCAGGAAATCTAGTAATCTATAAATCAAATATTAAATAAAGAGAGAGAAAAAAATATAAATTTAAGTAATTTTAAAGTTATTTGAGGGGCTGCATTGTACAGCATGGTGATTACTATAAAGATTGTTTTATATAACTGAAAGCTAAAAGAGTGGATTTTAAATGTTTTCACCATATAAAAGAAATGGTAACTATGTGACATGATGCAAGTTTTACCTAACCTATGGTAGTAATTATTTTGCAATATACAAGTGTATTACATCAACACACTGTACACCTTAAACTTCCAGAATGTTGTATGTCAATTACATCTCAATAAAGCTGGGGGGGGAAATCTTTGAGAAAGAGAAACAAAAACTTGATAAATCATAGTTACCATTTATTCAGACTATACTAGGTGCCAGGCATTACACTTTGTACTTAAAGAACATTTGCTAGTTTGATCTTCATAACAACTCTATTAAGTATGATAGCTTTTTTCACAAATAAAATAACTGACTCAGATATTAACCTACCCAAGTCAGAGGCAGAAGCAGATTCTTCTTATTCCATAGTTCATACACTTGCCACCTGGCCAAAATTATTTGCAGAGAACAAAAATACTCAACTAGAAAATATTAAGGAATCAATGTATAAGCTAGTGGCAGTAACATTAATAGTAGACTGAGGGGACAAAATAAGTACATCTTTCAAATTTTTGCTTTTGTGCATTATATAAAACTAGATGAAACAAAAAAAAAAGAGGGGTGGGGTCATATGGGAAAAAAACCCCAAGATTTATGCTTATAACAGTATAAACTATCTAGGAATAAACATAAACATGTATGTCTAAAACACATGTGGAAAACCACCACCACAGCTGGTCAAGGAAACAAAACATTTGTGTTAAAGGAAATCCATCACATGTTCCTGAAAGTGTTGGACCTATACCCACATCAGTTTTACTCAAAAATAAAAGCATCTACGCGATAGAAGACAACTGCAATAGATAAAAACAAAACAAAACAAAACCGAAAACTTCCAAAGCGTTAGTAATATGGAAATAGCTGACGGGATATCAGAATCAAAATGTATAAAATATACCAGTACCTACACAACTCCTCCTACCATTAAAACTGAAATACACTAAAATTTAACAAGAGTTACTTGCCGGACTATTTAGGAGTTTGAGCACTACTTAGGAATCATTACATCGGTCGGATATAAAAATGAAAACACATTTTCTGCAAGAATATTCAGTAAACATGGGCGCAAGAGGCCAGAAACCCACTTTTTAAAAGCAAGGATGTGCTCAGCATCAACAACGGAACTCCCCAAACTCCGTCCCCAACACGGACACGACCCCCGCTTCCCCCCACCAGACACCCCAAGTTCTCGTCCCAGCACAGAACCTCACAAGCTCCCCCTCCCCAGGGATCGCCCAAGTGATCCTCCAACACAACCCGCTAGCGAGAATTCCCACTCGTTTCCCCCAACACCTACCCCCACGCGCTCCGGAACAAAAACAAACAAAACAAAAAAACAAAACAAAATCCCAAACCCAACGCGCTCTCCCTGGCCCCGAAACACTCCCAGAACCGAGACTGACCTGGCGATAACCTCGATCTTCACCGCTGGACACAGACCACCGTAGCACTTCTCCAAACACTTTCCCTCCGTGCCTACCGCCCCCGAGGCCCACCTCAGCGACTGACAGACCCTCAGAAGCACCGAGATGGCGGCCGACGAGGGCCAACGCGCGCTGTTCCCGAGATCCTGAATCTGGCCCTAGGCTCGGCCTCCGTGACGTCATACTGCAGCGCCGACTCCAGGCTGTTTGCAGAGAGCGGCGGTTTCGCCAGAGTTCCCGGAGGCGGCCGTGTTTCGCTTTGCCCCATTCTCGGAAAGGCTCTAGACGGTGAGAAGCTATTGAAAACGCTTTATTTCCAGACCACTTTTAGCCTTTGGGCGCCGAATTTTTGTAACATTCACCGGGGGCGGTGCATATACAGCTTAGCTCCTGAGAAACTCAGGCCTGCCCACGTCTCTCCTCAGGACCCGCCGAGATGGTCGCGGGCTTTAAGGCGCTTTCAGTTAAAGGACCGGGAGAAGCTAAGTGCGCGCGGCCCGCGTAGAAGTGCACAGGGGAGGGAGTTCGAGCCGAGCCAGAGCGACAGTTGGAGGGGAACGGGTTAGTATCCTGGGAATGCTGGCTGGAGGGGGCTTTGTGGAGAAAGCGGCATTTGCGGCCGGGCTAGGTTTCAGAGAACCGCGGGAAAAGGCATTGGTCAGAGTGGGCAGACGGGGTTAGAAGGCTCTTGGTATGATTCGTGTGGGTGAAAACAGGGCACAGGGTTGATGGGGGTCAACAGGCGGCAGAGCTCATAGAGAAGCCGGGCTCTCCCAGGGTGGCGGGAGTCAAAGATGCGGCTTTTCTCTAACGATGAAAAGTACCTTGAATCAAAAGCTCTGAGGGGTCCCCGGCTGGCTCAGTCGTAGAGCGTGTGACTCTTGATCTTGGGGTGACTGGGGGGGGGTAGATTGCACTTAAATTTTTAAATCTTAAAAAAAATAATAATAAAACCCCTCCGAGTAAAGGAAGTGGTTCTCTTCAATATCGCAGCCCAACTAATTAAACTGATGAGGTTCCAGTGCGGAACTCCGTCCCCACAGCTACACAACCAGGCTGAGAGCGCCTTCTAATTAAAGGGCTTATTCATTCATCCGGATGTTTATAAGATGCCTACTATGTGGCAAACGCTGTTCCGCATGCTAGGGTTACAAAAATTGTAAATGCAGGCAAAAATACCCTTGGTGGAGCTTTACATTCTGCAGAATGTAAAATTGCAGGTTTGAATGTCAAGTTTCAAGAGTGTTAGGATTCCCACCTACAACGTGACCTACAATGCCTGGCAGCCTGACATAACCGAAGATAAGTAACCAAAGATGATTATTCTTAAGTCTTAAGATCTAATGGAATTTGCTTTACTAGGTTTTGAGTTTTTGAGGGACCCCTACCCCTTTCTTCCTCCTAATTTCTCTCTTGGAACGGGAGCGTCTGTGCTACACCTGTCCTACCATTGTATTTTCTAAATGAGTAACTTCTCTAATTTTACATGTTCACAGCTAGAGAGAAATTTTGCCTCAGGGTAAATTGCACCTGAAGTCTCAACCATATATGACTTAGATGAGACTTGGACTGTGTAGACTTTAGAGTTGATGCTGGAATGAGTTAAGACTTTGAGGGTTGTTGGAATGGAATGTATTTTGTATGCAAAAAGGTCAAGAATTGGGGGGGTGGGGTGGAATATTATGGACTGAATGTTTGTGTCTCCTCAGATTCACATGTAGAACACCCTAACACCCCGCTATATTTGGAGGTGGGACTTTGGAGGAAGTAATTAAAGTTAAATGAGATCCTAAGTGTGGGGCTCTGATCCCCGTGAGTTCAGTGTCCTTATTGGAAGAGACACCAGAGAGTTCTTTCTTTGTGCAGACAAACTGCAGAAATGCCTTGCGAGGACATGGTGAGAAGGCAGCCAGATGTCTGCAAGCCAGGAAGAGTACTGACCAGAAATCAAATCCGCTGGAAACTTGATTGTGGACTTCTAGCCTCTGGAACTGTGAGAAAATGAATTTCTTTTGTTTCAAACACCCACTCTAGTATTTTTTATGACAGCCAAAGCAGTCTAGTACTGCGGTGAATTACATCGCTTAAAAAATTTGCATTCTTTTGGTAAAAAGAATGAATATATATATATATATATATAATATAAATTTATTTATATATATTTATTATATAAAAAGAATCTTGGGGGCGCCTGGGTGGCTCAGTGGGTTGGAGCCTCTGCCTTTGGCTCGGGTCATGATCTCAGGGTCCTGGGATCAGGCCCCACATGGGGCTGTCTGCTCGGCGGGGAGCCTGCTTCCCTTCCTCTCTGCCTGCCCCTCTGCCTACTTGTGATCTCTATCAAATAAATAAATAAATAATTAAAAAAAAATTTAACAATATGGGCTGTCCATGAATTACTTCTGGCTTTAATGTTCGAGCTCAGTTAGAATGGCTCTACAGTTTGCTTGGTTGGTTGACTGAAACTGGACTAAAAAAGGTGGCCTGCACTGAAGTTTAAATGCCAGAAAATTCTTTATATTTTGTAAAGATTCCAAAAGTATATGGAGTTAGGGATGTTAATATGTAATTATCATGTAAAGCCAGTTTACCCGTCCACTAAAAATAAATCCTGCGAGCATCCAGAAGATAATTTCTTCAAAGAAGCTGATTTGGCTATAGAAAATTGGTATATAAGATTCTGGTACTATACATGAGAAGGTATAATAATTTGAAGATACACCGATAAATGAATGATGCATGCTATAAACTCTAAAGGAACCACTTAAATGATAAAGTTACACCTAAAAAGCCAACGATGGAGATAATCATAAAACATAGTTGCTCCAGGGCCACCTGGGTGGTTCAGTCAGTTGAGCCTCTGACTCTCGATTTCAGCTCAAGTCATGTTTTCAGGATCCTGGGATCAAGCCCTGTGTTGGGCTCCCCACTCAGTTGGGAGTTTGTCTCACTCTCCCCACCGCCCCTGAAATTAAAAAAAAAAAAAAAAAGTTACTCCAAAAGGAGGTAGAAAATGACAAAAAGGGGAGCAAAACCAGCTGGGATAAATAACACCACTTTAATTATGAATGATCTAAATACCTCAGTAAAAAGAGATCATCAATTAGATAAAATAGGTCCAACTACATGCTGCCTACGAGAAACTATTTTTTAAAGATTTTATTTGACAGCACAAGCAGGGGGAGCAGCAGACAAGAGGAAGAGGGAGGGGGAAAAGTAGGCTCCCCACTGAGCAAGGAGCCCAATGCGGGCCTCAGTCCCAGGACCGTAGGATCAGGACCTGAGCAGAAGGCAGATGCTTAACTGACTGAGCCATACAGGCACCGCTAGAAACTCACTTTAAATATTAGGTTAAAAGTAAACCATGTTGGGGCACCTGCCTGGCTCAGTTGGGGTTGTGAGTTCAAGCTCCACGTTGAATGTACATATTACTTTAAAAACTGTTTAAAAATTAAGCCATATTAGAGATATGAAAGCTATAAAAAGATAGGCCCAATCCAAGTTGCTAGAGATAAAAACTACAACTTCTGAGATAAAACATACTTTGATGGGATTAATAGCAGATTAGATGTTGTATAAGAAAAAAATCAGTGAACTTTAAAAGACAGCAATAGAAACTTTCCAAAATGAAAAATAGGTTGGGGTGGGTGAGGAGTCTAAAACCTAGGAACGGTATTTTAACCTACTTGTGTTTGTAAAAGGAAAGGTCCGTGAATTTAATGACAAGACAAAAGAAACTCAAGTACAAATTCAACTACAAAGAGAACAGAAGCTTTTATTAAAAAGAGAAAAAATGCTTAGAGAACCTGAACTTACACAAAAGAGAAAAACCTCGAGTTCTTGGCCAGGGGGCGGTAAGAGGTATCATTGTGAGGAATGCCTAGTGAAACTGCTAACTGCTCTCCACTCTCTGATCAAGATAGTGAATAAACATCAATATTCTGGGAGGGCTTATAAAATATGAAGTAAAACATATCTTATAAACCCAATACATTCTTATTAACATATTAATCATACCTCTATGTTTTTGATGTGATAGAATACAGCTATAACTATACAGTTACAATGTCCTTGTTTGCTCAGTCTAGCATATATGTCAGTTTTAGTCACTTCTCATTGGTTTCTTTCAACACTGATCATATTTTCCTGCCTGATAAGTTTTGGTTGGATGACAGACACTGTCAACTTTATCATGTGGGAGTGAGGAGAGCCAGGGAGATCAGGATATTTTTGCCCTCCGGGATTCTTAAAGCTTGTTTTGGGATACATTGAGGTTACTTGCAGTTTGGCTCTCTCTGGCTCTGTTTAATTATTGAGTTAGTTAATTTTTTCCTGGCCCTGTTTTAAATCTTAGTTAAGACCAGATTGCTTATTGAATGAGATTCAATTAATATTTCAATTTAATATTAATTAAATATTCAATATTTATCAAGTGCCTACTCTGTATTGCATATTCTTCTAGACATCTTGTATATAGCGGTTAACAAGTTTCCTACCCTCAGGAAGCTTAGTCTAACTTTTACAGTGTATAACTCACATTCAAGACCTTATACTTGAGCGTAAACATGTAGAGTTATTGTAATATGCTTTATATTGAAATTGATACAATATAAACATTATGTTTATACACGACCCAAAGTCTTTATATTCCATATCAAAATCTTTAAAACAATTAAGATGTTCTCTCCAAGTGATTCTAGTAGGGCTTACGTCATTGATTTAAAAAAAAAAAAATCACCTAGGGGCACCTGGGTGGCTCATTGGGTTAAGCCTCTGCCTTCAGCTCAGATCATGATCTCAGGGTCCTGGGATCGAGCCCTACATCGGGCTCTCTGCTCAGCAGGAAGACTGTTTCCCCCCCTCTCTCTGCCTGCCTCTCTGCCTACTTGTGATCTTTGTCTGTCAAATAAATAAAATCTTAAAAAAAAAAATCACCTGTCTAACTGCCATTAAAATACCTCACCTACTGAGAGGCCTCTACTTTAGTTTCCCCCTGACACCATATATATATATATATATATATATATATATATATATATATATATATATTTTTTTTTTTTAAGATTTTATTCATTTGAGAGAGAGAGCATGAGAGAGGAGAAGGTCAAAGGGACAAACAGACTCCCTGCGGAGCTGGAGCCCAATGAGGGACTCGATCCCGGGACTCTGGGATCAAGACCTGAGCCAAAGGTAGTTGCTTAACCAACTGAGCCATCCAGGCGCCCTCCCTAACACCTAATCTAATGCCCTTTTTGAGATTGCAGTTTTTCAGCAGGGGACTTGGTCTGAACCTCTTCCTGTATCAGTTTTATGCCAGCCCCTATCATTACTCCTGACTACATTCAATTAATTATACATGTCAGGGATGCCTGGGTGACTCAGCTGGTTGAGCGTCCAACTTTTGATCTCAGGGTCCTGAGTTCAAGCCCCATGCTGGGCTCTACACTGTGCATGGAGCCTACTTAAAAAATTACACCTACTAGGTTCTGAAAATATTTTCCAGGCTGGTTCCAGGCCTCTATATTCCAGTGCAGCACTGGATTCAGCCTACTCCAGGTCCAGTTCAAAGTCTGGCCTCTTGCAACCATGCCAGGGTTGATTCTGTAAAGACCTGTTTTTCTCTTCATGTGGTAGGACCCAGGATTCCGAGTTGGGAGAAAATGGGAATACATGCCGGGAAGAATGTCTGGGTGGTTCCATCAGTGAGACAAAAGGTAGGGCTAGACAGGGTACTACCTCTAAGGGAAGAATGCAACTGGATAGTTATCTATGAGTTTAGAACTTCAGATCCCCAGCATTCTGAGAATAATAATTTTAATAATCCAGGAAGGAGGAGAACTAGGATGGAAGTAGTCATCTTAATTTGTATTCAAATTGCTTACCTTATTTTTTCATGTTTTAAAAAAATATTACTAAGAGCTGTATTGGGATGTATTTTGTTATTTATTGTATTGGTTTAAATTACTAATTGTCCTTGGGCTTTTAGTTCATCTTGCAAACATGGTTTTTCTACCTTTTCAAATGTAGAAAATTTTAAAAATCACTTTTATGATGATGTTGTGTAGTGCTTGGTCTTATTTTTAAATTCAATTTAAATTCATTCAAGGACATTAAGTTTTATTCATAAGTTTAATATATTCATTTCATTTTTGAAGGACTTCAGTTGCCTGAAATAATACTTAAACCTAGAGCCAAAGAAATGCAACAGCTAACCATCACAGGATATTGGGTGGGAACTGAATATAATTTTAGAAAAAAAAAAATCCACAAATGGGAAAAGTGAATATAATGTGATAATAATGTTAACCAGTGATGTAGGGCAGAGACTATCTCCTCTAAATTACCATTAACATGGTAATTGGGAATGTGGTTCAAGGTATCCTGTCCGAAAATGCCCATCAGGTGTATCACACAATATACAGGTCAAGTTGAAAAAGGTACATAGAGCTCTCAAACATTCCTCATTTTCACAAGCCTTCTTTGTTTCATAAGAACTTTAGTTTTTGTTAAAGATATTCCACAATTAGTGGATTAATGGTGTTTTCTCTGTGATTTTTTTTAAGATTTTATTTATTTATTTGACAGAGATTTATTTATTTGACAAGGAGGCAGAGAGGCAGGCAGAGAGCGAGAGGAGGAAGCAGGCCCCCTGCTGAGCAGAGAGCCCGATATGGGGCTCGATCCCAGGACCCTGAGATCATGACCTGAGCTGAAGGCAGAGGCTTTAACCCACTGAGCCACCCAGGCGCCCCTTCTCTGTGATTTCATCTGCTAATGGATGAGGCAGAATGTACCACTGAAAACCCTGCCATATTCCCTGCCTTCTAACATGAACTGACACATCGAGGGCAAGGACTTTTCCACTGTCATATTTCTACTCATTATAAGCTCACTGATGATCTGTGGTGATCACTGATGACAGACAGGGTCTGTCTTCCAAAAAACAGCTTTCCTAGCCTCTGTATTCATAGGTTTTCTGTTTATATATAACCATATAATCAGCTAGACATTATTGCTCAAGGCTTTTCCAAATTGAATGTACCAGTTTTTTCCTGTGTGTTTTTTGGGACATAAAATAAGATGTAATTGACCACTGAAGGCATGAC